CGGTGACTGTGTAACCTTTTTTTTTTAGCAAAATGGTCAAGTTTGATTATTCATTAGATTAGAATGTCTCCAAAAATTCAGCTAAACAAAACAAAAATAGAAGAATAAGTGGTAATGTATAGGGATTTTCTGTAATTTTAAACAATAATATAGATGGGGCTGGATTAAAAAAATTTAAAGTTTTTTCCACTTTTAAAATAAATTGAAGATATTAAATACTACTAATACTATTAATTTATAACACATGGATTTAGTAATTAAATACTTTTTAGTGATGATTTGCAAAATTATTGAAAACCAAAAAACTTTAATCCTTACAGTGTCGATAAAAGATTGTTTAATATTACACAACATTGAGGGAAAGTACAGGGTGTTTGTAATAAAAAACATTTTGAGGGTTGAAACTGATAAAATTTAACTGGAAATGTGGAGGACTCTAACCCTGATTAGCATTAACACAGTAACTACAGAAAAGTAATACTGGAGAAAAACATCATTTTGTTTTTCTTTCAAACCAATAGTAACTTAAAAGACTGGCACGATTTTTATGTCAAAAATGTTTGCTATGTATGTTTTTTGCTGGAAAAATAATATTTTCCTCAAAAACTTAACTAGGTATATAACTTTTTTCTAAGGAATGTGTAATCTTGCATTTTCCCTACTACATTTTTTACTACCTACATTTTTCTTGGATATGGCAAAATAATGGTCCTTTATACAGGCTGTTACAAATTCGCTTCTCACTACAGGGATCTCGAAAAAGGTAAGAGCTACGAAGTAGCTTAAATGGGGGCAAAGTTGCGTCAGGGGACCAACATTATGCCTCTAAAAAATCAAGTCTAACATGATTAGTTTTCGAAATATTTGAAAAAAAAACGAAATTTTGGAAATCCGTTTTTGTTTAATTTCAGCCTCGTTTGAGGTGATATTGAAAAAAGAACAACACTTTCTCATGGCCACTTTTTGCCCTCTATCGAATGGCATAATCAATTTTTATATGTAACGTTTCGTCTCTCCACGACCATCATCAACTTCATTTTTTTAAATACGACCCTAGAGATTTTATTAAATATTTTGCAAGCCTTCATGACCCCCAATACTGTACTGCCACAGCCCGAACCAGATTTAACAAGTTTTGTTTCGAAAATGGTTTTGGTGGTGGTTTTTGCTAATCATGTCAGGGGTAGCTGGGTAGCTATATTATTTTTGAAGTGCTTATCTATCATATGAAAAGAAGTTACTGTGATTCCTGCAAATCCTTGTAGCTACTAAAATTTTAACAAAATTCTGTAAGTGCTAAATTTATTTATAGATCATACTTTTAATTTAGCTCATTCCGATATATGTACTTCATATGTCTCCTGGATGTCAGCAATCGCAAGTCTGTTGAGACACCCTGCCGAAGCCGCTTGAATCGTCTTAATCGTCCTGAAAGGAGATCATTTCAGGATCCTCTTGGGCAGCATTACCATATTGTGTGTTCGTAATCAATATGTGACTGGATGCATTGTTGTGATGGAGCATCCAGATATCAACGATGTCATATCAGGCACTACAGATATTTGATTTGCTGATACAGGCCCTTTTTTAATTGACGAGACTGCTCGATGGTTTGCTGTATCTCAATACTCTTCACACGAACATTAAACACACTTTACTTTGAACAAACTTGTGTAGATAAATGATATGACAACTATGTATAAAATGCTAAGGGAAAATATTTTTTTGCCTCTCGTTCATTTAAAATATCAGCATTTCCTGGTCTGTACATGGAGATTTACTTATGCTTTAGTAATAGTTTTTGACTGACATAAACAGTTACTTTACATTTGAAAAATTACTTTAGCACTGTTATCTCCTAGAGTAGATTTTCAAGATTCCTTTAGCTTTTGATACAAATATGAAAACATTAAAGCAATTTTAATTCGATTAATCTTAGGCGAAAGTCATGGAAATGCAGCATTAGCTGCTAAGTTGTATACAGAGCGATTTACATTTTTGAAAGAAAGACATTACATGTCGTCAAATAAACACAAGCAACAGCTAACTAAATGAAGATAATTTATAACCTAAGTGACATTTGTTTATATATATATATATACGAGCGGTGCTCGCTATAAACCCTGCCTCTTAATCTGCGAAAATATTAATCATAAAGGTACAATTTTGTTTTGTATACGTGTATATGTATATACAGGGTGTCCCTGAAAAGTATGGACAACACTTAACCACGGGTTCCTTGGAAAATTTAGACTTACCTATATACAAAAGTGTACGCCTACTGAGATTTAGCCTTCTAAATATGAAACAGATAACCTAGTTTTTTTCGTATAATTTGAAAACAATTTTTTTTGGAAATTTCAAATTTGGTACACATATTTTTTTATATAAGGGCAATGTAAATATAGAAATTGGTGAGAATACACATACAGGATGTTCTCTTTCTAGAACCTGTGCGTCACTGGCTATCCGGTAACTTTCTTGTGTACACAAGTGATGCCAGAATTTATATTTTTAAAAATAAACACTATTTTAGAAGATTTTTTTGCCTCTTACAAAATTTTGATATCGTTTATGGATTTCGAGTTAAATGGCATTTTTCATATATTAAATGTAGACAAAAATTCCGATTACTAAAAAATATTTTATAACTGCAGTTTCAAAGCAGGGAATAATAATGAAAAAACTTCACATTAAAAGAACTAAATTATCTACACATTTTTAGTCTTAATATCAATCAATAAAATAAAAAATCGACACTAGTATTTTAAATACACAATATCAACTAATAATATAAGAAAGTCAACATTAACAATTTAAATAAACCTAAATTGATATTTGTAAGCACATTAAAATATTACATTAAATCCTCAGTGACCTCCTTGTTCTTGAAAGCAGGCATTAATTCTTCTTAGGAAATTAAAATGAATTTTATCCAATAATTGTGCATTACCTCTCATAACATTAATTTCATTTTGTATTCTTTCCCACGATTAATTTTCTGTATATACTGGAAAGCTATATTATAAACATTGGTCTTCAACATTCCCCAAAGGAAATAATTACATGGGTTTAGGTCCGGGTATCAAGGTGGCCATCTAAGTATTGTTTTATCGATAAGGCAAAATGGGGAGGAGCCCCATCATGCATGAAAATCATATTCATTCGTACTGCTATCGGGAACTCATCAAGCAGATAGGGTAATCTCGTTAGGAGAAATTCTAAATAATTTTCTGCGTTCAATGTAACAGGTAATATAACAGGACCAATTAAAAAACTACCAATAATACCAGCCCACTACCAATAATAAATACCAGCTCAAACATTAATCTTAAATTCATGTTGGAACTGTTTTTTACTGATTCTATGTGAATTTTCATCACAATTCATTATGTGAATTAAAAATACCCCTTCTAGTAAAAGCGGCTTCATCTGTAAATAGGATTTTCATGTGGATATTATCGTCTCTATTTCTGAGTTCTTGAAGACTTTCACTGAAAGCAAAATGTAATGGAGAATCTATTGGTAAAAGTTCTTAAACTGATTGAAGGTGGAATGGATGTAATAACTGGTCTTTGAATACTCTATTAATGGAATTTTTTGAAACGTCAACCTCTGCCTTGTACTTGCAGAATTTCTTCCACCCTTTCCAAAATTTGTTCCTCCAGCTGAATAGTTCTAATCGTACGTTGTCGTCTACAATTTAATGTTACAGGTAAAAAACATTCTGTTTCCCGAAGGCGTCTCTCAACATTCGAACACTAGCACGGCAATTTCCTTCACAATAACCCAAAACTAGTAACATATCAGTTTATTCAGCAAAAGTGTAAATTACAGCCATAGTAAAGATTTTAAAAAACAAAATAAGCAAAAATGAAATGACACTGAACCGTTTAATTACTGTTATGAATATTTTTCTTTGTTATGTGTACTAGGCTGATCTAATTATCTATAAACTGATTTTATAATATTTAATGTATAAAAAGTGCCAATTTTGCCCAAAATCTATAAACAATATAAAAATTTTGTAATTTCGACACTGTAATAACGCGAACATAAGAAGACCTGAAGATGGTAAATGAGATTTTACCAAAACGTCGTCAAACAAATGGTTCTTTTGAAGACCATGCAGAATTTATGCGGAAAGGAACCCGGAAAAATTTTACAATCACATACAACACCCGCAGAAACCTAAGAACTAACATATGTATATATACATATATACATTTGTATATACAGGGTGTTCCTAAATAAGTATCGCAACGGAAAACTGTACACTGAAAAATTTTTTTCCTCTCCGAGCTTTCGTTTTCGAGATACACGGTGTCAAAACTTTTTTTCAGATTTTTGCCAATATCTTAGGAACTGTTTGAACTACAGGACTGAGCTTTTGTACATACATTACCACTATTAATAGCTACTTGTCACAAATGTTGTTAAATTTTGTTAAAATTGTTAATTATTATTATCTATCTTTTGAATTACAAAAGATTTTCGAAACGTTAGCAAAATGTTTGTTTTTGTTCATAAAAAGTAATTTTTCTTGAAAGCGGTTGACTTTAGAGCAATGAACCAAGAGAACTCTTTTTGTGTAAAATTCATTGGCACTTCAGAATTTGCTGTCAAATGTCAATTTTTCCAGTGGCATAAAAGTTAGGGGGGGAAACCCTTACGATACCTTAAAATCTCAATGAATTCGAGAAGGGTGCGAAAAAGTAACTATTAATAGTAGTAATACGTGTACAAAAACTCAGTCCTGTAGTTCAAACGGTTCCTAAGATATTGGCAAAAAATTAAAAAAAAAATAAAGTTTTGACACCGTGTATCTCGAAAACGAAAGCCCGAAGAGAAAAATGGAGGAGGAAATGAATGTTTCTTTTTTCAAGAGAAATTTACAGTTTTCCGTTGCGACACTTATTTAGGAACACCTTGTATATTAAAAAAAAAACGGAATTTTGTATTTTTTTAAATAAATATTTAATTGGACATTTGTATTTCTAACCAGACATGTTCAATAATAGTAATATTATAATTACCATTTAATGACTTAGTACATACAAGTACTGCCTAATTTGATATAGATTGTACTTGTACTTTATTAATTTTAATATCTGAAATATTGATAAAGCTATGTATGCATTTTGAGGCACCTTTCTAATAATATTATTAATGAACTGAAGCAATAACTTATAGAATAAAAAGCCTTTTAGAGAGCATCAATAACTTTAATATAAAAAAAAAAACACTTCAAACTGTTGTCCCATAGGTACTAAAAACCACTCTAGTGCTATCGCTGTCTAAAGTAACATCTTCGGGACTAGCAAGATCGACTCGAACACTATCTGAATTATTGCGCTTACGTTGACCCCAGTTACTTAAAGTCCACTGATATACTCCCTCAGAAGAGTGACGATTTAGTTCCATGGCATCTAGTTGTGGACTGTCGAGAGTGTCAGAACTTGAGCTGGTGGCCTCAAAGGAATCTCCTCCTCCTCTAAATCTGCCTATGCCTATAAAATAAAATGTATATATAAATGTGTTAGATTTTTTCTTTATGACAAAAACATTCTTTTATTATGTCAGTAAATACATGAATTCCTTCTTGGAAAATACAAGAATGTTTAAGTGGGAATATTTTTTTCAATTTTTTTTTAGTTTATCGTCTAAAGAACACCGTGTGTAAATTTCATATTGAAATTTCAATAATTGTGAAAGTTATGGGTAATTTACTGGAAGTCAAGCGGGTATTAAAGGGTTGGACCCTTTGTGAATTCTAACAGTTCGCTAGAGCGTCATTCTATCATTAGTGTGCCGCAGTGAGCAACAATAATTTTGTGCATCGTTTTGTGAAAATTATTTAGTGAAATGGATAGTAGAAAAAGTACGAAGAAATGTAGATCAGCACTGCGAGCTCGAAGATGCGGAACACGTGCGTACTGCACACAACCCGTGAAGGGAGAATACTGTGAAGGTAGGCACGGATCGCTGCAGATGCTACCAGTGCTGTGGAGGGTATATTCTATGGTCCAGGAATCACAGATTAACGGTAAAGTAAAAAAAAATTCTCCATATATTATATGTCACACGTTTCATGTCAACAGGCACAGTGGGCTGCCCAGAATAAAAAGGCATCAATATTGATGTTCGACATGTCAAAAACTTCATATTTAAAAACTTTATCCAAAGCCGTCTGGTGATTTCAAAAAAACATGGCAGTTCCAATATGGCATCCGCAATCATGGAAAATTTTGATTAATGAGTAATATTGATAGATAAGAAACATAAAAATATGTACTGTATTGTAGACTGAATTACCATATCTATACGTTTTTGGGGTTACTGATTTCAAATTCAATGTTTGTTAAACCCCATCTGGTCACTGTTTGTCCCTAACCTTAAAAATATTTCAAATCGTTGGAATAATACTTTTCTACGATGAGTAATACAGTCTAACCACCACAATGTATGTTTTGGGGATCGCTGAAACCAATTCTGATATCCATATAACTTCCACTAGTAAGAGTTCGTACCTAACCTCAAAAAAATAGCGCAAATTTCTAAGATTACACTTTTCTATGTTTAAGAATGAAGTGTAAGCAATATATCTTTATATTTTTGGGGTCACTGAATCGAATTCATACATCTGTTTGAACCCAAGTAGTCACTAATATAGTCGTAGGTAGATATGTTAATATCTTTACATTTTTGGGGTCACTAAAGCTAACCTAACCTCAAAAACTATAATAGTTATAAAGTCTGACCATCATATCTTTATGTCTTTTTTTAGGCAATCCAAACCACGTGACAAAATCGGAATTCAATATGGCGTCGAGGGCAAACATTTGTTTGATTCATATAACATTGGGTGTGCTTTGTTAAGAGTTTGTGTTTTTCTGTTGGCTTGGCTTTGTTTTTTTGAACTTTAACTGTATAGTGAGTGTTTCGTGGATTGTAGTAAGGTGTCTTTGTTGTTGTCAATCAATATGCAGAGTGATTATTTAAAGAAGCTAATATAAGAATATTAATTAATGTAACGTTGGCATTATAATGAAAAATACATAAATTAAGGAATTGGAATGTATTAATATTGTAAAAATTCCTGATGGTACTTAACAAATTTTTCTTGATTTTTAAAAAGTATAATAATTTACCTCGGCATAAATTTCCATTCTATTTCGCTTGTATTTTCTAGTAATTTTATTCTTTTATCTATCAATGTTTGGCGCAGTTTTCTCGATAAATCATTTAAATGAGGAAAATATTTAGAATTCGTTATGTTGGATACACTATGAAAGCTAACTTGGTCTCGATTTCCACGACTTCCACAACCCACTACTATGCACGTTACCGGCATTAGTAATACATATCATTGCGATACAATTCAATAAAAGACGAGTTGAACACTTCCTTAAATAAAATACTTGAATAATTCCTTACAAAAAACTCGGATTAAACACTTTTATCTAAAAACTTCTGGACTGACTTCAATGCATCCTCAATGTAAACATCACTTGTTTGCCATCAGCGCCATATTATTATTATATAATAATATAATAATTTTTTTTATTTATTTTTATAGTCTTACTTAGTAGTCTACCGTCATTTTTTTACGTATGTGTATCTTCAGGTGCCAGATTTGAGAGTAGGGGAGAGTGTTGTACCTTGGGTATGCGTGTACCATTTGCTTTTAATCATATATCTAGAGGCCGCTGCATATGACAAATTGTTCACTCCGAATGTAGATGGCTAGAAAGTATTGTTTTGACATTCAGATTTAAGTCCCCTGAAAATTGTGGCTGTGTCATTATTTTGTAGTAGCAAATGTAAATATTTTACTCATCATAAATTTAGAATTATCCGCTTTACTGGTAAGTATTTTGTTTTTTTTATTATGCTTAGATGATTAATAAAGCTTAGGCGTTCCTTTAATAATAATGTTTTGTTTTTAATTATAACCTAAAATTTTTTTTGTCAATAAATAAATTTACTTGCATGTGCTTGTACCTTGGACCGTAACTAGGTCCTGTACCATGGACCGGTCCAAGGTACGGTACCCCTTTATCGTCAATAATAAATACCGATCATTTACATTATTGAAATAACCGTTTTCTTCAGATTTTGCATTAACCATGCCACGCAGCAAAAAGGGGGTTAAAAGAACACCAGTAAATCGACTTTATATTACATGTGCCGTTAATAAAGTGTTAAATAAGGAAGTCTCTATTCGTGAAGCTTCCCGCACTTACGATGTTCCTAAAACAACATTGATCAGACACCTAAGCAAACATAAAAGAATGGAAGGCTCTGCAGAATTTCAGTATCAAGCCAATTATAAAACGAAACAAGTTTTTTTGGTCGAAGAAGAAAATAGCCTGACAGAATATTTGATTACAGCTGCCCATCTTCATTATGGTTTAACAAAAATAGAAGTTCGGTGCCTTGCCTACCAGTTTGCAGTAGCAAATAAAATTAAATTTCCACCATCGTGGGACCAACATAAAAAAGCTTGCAAGGAATGGTTAAGGTATTTCCTTAAACGTTACACTCGACATTTATCACTTCGAAAACCAGAACCTACAAGCCTGGCTCGCTCAACTTCCTTCAATAAAGCTAATATTACATCATTTTTTGAAAATTACAAACAAGTTTTCTCCCGAAATGAATTTCCTCCGCACAAAATTTGGAATTGTGATGAATCCGGATTCCCAACCGTTCACGTACCGCCTAAAGTAATTGGACCAAAAGGAATAAAGCAACTAGGACAGATGACCAGTGGAGAGCGGGGCCAAAACGTTACCTTAATAGCAGCAATAAATGCATCCGGAAATCACATTCCTCCGATGTTGATTTTCCCTAGAGTCAACTTCAAGGCGCATATGCTAAAAGGAGGTCCTGTAGGAACTATTGGCGGCGCTAATTCATCTGGTTGGTCAAATGCATTGCTTTTTTTGCAATTTCTGGAACATTTAAAAAATCACGTTAAACCATCTGTTGAAGATCCGATTCTTTTACTTCTTGATAATCACGACAGCCATGTCAACATACCAGTTATTGAATTTTGCAAAACTAATGGGATCATTCTATTATCCTTTCTCCCACACACAAGTCATAAGATGCAGCCGCTAGATTGGACTGTTTTTGGACCAATGAAAACATACTACAACACAGCCTGCAGTGAATGGATGCTAATGCATCCAGGACAACCCATAACAATTTACGATATTGCTGAACTTATCGGAAAAGCATTTCCAAAGGCCTTCTGTCAAACCAATATTGTAAAAGGGTTTGAGGTGTCGGGACTATATCCGATCAATGAAGGAATATTTGAAGAAGATGAATTTTTAACCTCTTTCGTCACAGATCGTCCCTTGGAAAATCAGTCCCAACTTGAAGATCTTGGCAATTTGGCTGAACATCCTACAACTCCTAGTACTTGAGGTGTGATAAATTTTAGTAGCGCTAATTTAGAAAACGTCGTAACCACCAGTTTCTCAGATATTAGCAGCCAGAATAATAAAGCAACTAGTACGAATAGACCTCGTGTATCCATACTCCTCAAATGTTACGACCTTATCCCAAAGCTCCACCCCGTAAAAAGACTACCGAAGGAAGACCAAGAGGCAAATCCTGTATCTTAACAGACACTCCAGAAAAACTGGAAATTGCTGCATTAAAAAAAGTTAATCCGAAAACAGCTAAAAGCACAAAGAGACAAGTATTCGACAACTCTAATCAAGAGATTTTACAAAAAAATATTTTATCTGTCGCTTAAGAAAAGAAAGATTTCATCTACCTCTGAATCAGAAAATATGTCTATTAGAAGCGGCAGCTTTGAGGATGAAACATGGATTGAGGAGATTTTACGAGAGCAGGAAGAGACCATTGCTGAACAAAATTTTGAAGATCCTGATTTAAGAGTCGGTGATTTTGTACTAGTGAAAGTTCCGGGGAAAAAGAAGATTCACTACTACGTTGCTGAAATTGTTCGTTACGATGACGAAAATGAACTTAGATACTTACTTCGATTTAATAATGACAGTAATAAGTTCTTGAATGATTGAACAAAATTTTTTTCATTTTTTAAGGAGGATATTATTACAAAATTACCCGCACCTAGCAATGTGGGTGGAATAGCTCGAAATTCCAAAATGTTAAGCTTTGGTGTGAATTTTGGGCATTATAATGTTGAGTAGAAAATGTAATAAATATTAGAGAAATATTTGTTTACTTTTGTATTTTTGTTTTTTTTTAGAATTATATGTTCTACGATGTTTTATGTATGTTTTTAGTTTTATTTTTAACTGGACTAAGGTACACCAGTATTAGGTCCAAGGTACAAGACCAAGTTGTACCATGGTCCATTTTGTAGAAGGTTGAAAAAGGAAAATGTTTTCAATTAATGTATATTTAAAAAAAATTTTGAATACATTAATATATAATCAACGTACTAGATGTTTCAATTTTCATATCACAAGTTTTTAAGTTAATAAATAAAAAAGTTATATTTACTAATGTGAAAAGTGTCCCAATGTACAACACTCTCCCCTAACTTTTCTAAATAACAGATTAATCGGATATAATAATCAACTTTAATTTCTTTATCTGTAATAGATTATTTAAGCTATTTTGCCGATAATATTTTTTGGGGTTAGGGACGACTACTGACTATACTCGACGGCCAAAATTATAGATAATGATTGATCGCTAGCTCTTGGACTAGTAAGGGGGATGAAGCGTGCCGGGAACGAAAATCCATAGGCGTGTCTGCGTAAAAGGCAACAAGATATAGAAAATATTGAAAAAACATAATAAAACATAACATCTAATATTTTTTACGGTTTGCTATAACCGGCACTTTGATCAATTTTAATTATTACAGTATTTTAAAATGTCCCAGTTGTGTTTTTTTAATTTATAAATTTATTATAGCCATGGAATTAGACCCCTCGTCTACGCTTATGCTATGACGTTTCTCAGGTCGGGCAAATCAAGTCCGTTTACACCCACTAAAAAAGCATTTCCCTATTCCCTGCCAAGTGCAAAAGACAGAGATAAAATATAGATCGACGTTCAGAGTAACTCAGTCTATACACAATTATAGATTCTACCGATGTGCATGGCGAGCGGCACAAAGATAAATAATATTGAACCGTATAGAAATCATTTTATATTTTATACGCATTATGGTAATAGTGTTTTTATATTATGTATTAGTCACTCTTTATAATTTCGGCCGCCGAGTATAGTTGGGTTCAAACGGATGTAAGAATTCAATTCAGTGGCCCCAAAAATATAAAGATATGTTGGACACTTTTGTAACTATATTCGCGTCAGAGCTCTGTCATAGGGCTTTAATTTTCTATTAAGTCATTTTGCTGAAGTGTAAACAACATATTTTTTCTCAACTCTAAAGATGTTGGATTTCCAACCAACAAAACTCCATTTACAGGATGTTTTACTTTTCAAGTTTAATTCAAAGAAAAGTGCTTTTTTTGAATCATATCCTCACTGGCGATGAGGAATGGATACGCTATGATAATCCTAAGCGTACAAAATCGTGGGACAAACCCGGTCATGCGTCAACATCGTTGACAAAGCCAAATTACCATGATTCCAAGCTTCTGCTCTGCATTTGGTGGGATCAGCTCGGTGTAGTTTATTACGAGCTGCTCAAACCGAATGAAATCATCACGGGAGATTGCTATCAACTATAATTTATGCATTTGAGCCGAGCGTTTTAAAGGAAAAACAGCCAGTATATGAGCAGAGCAGACATTGCCCCTTTCGATTATCACTTGTTCTAATCGATGGCATATGGCCTGAAAAAATAGATCGATTGGTGGATAGCATCAAAAAATTAATTATTCTTTCGACGCATAATCTATATGCTGCTAGAAAGATGGGAAAAAGTAGTGGCTAGGGATGGACAATAATTTGAAAATAACAATGTACACAATTTTTCACAAAGCTATGAATTTGCAAAAAAATCCCTCAAAATTAATTCACAGCCTGCCAGTAAATCTGTAGAGATGCAGGAAATACTGCATAAAATATGAAAATTGATCCAGAAAAAAAGTTCATCGGCTTCCACCTACAAAAAATTTTGCAGCTTTATGATGAAAGTCGGTTGATCTTCAAGCTGGTTTTTCGAGGATGTAAGGCAGTAACTATCTAAGTTCCTTGATATAGCAAGTACCGACAGGATTGAATACAACTCTATATTGTCTAAAATGTGCCAAGAGGGAAGCCGCATATTAACCAACAGTAATGGTTAACAAAGAACATTGCTAATGAAGACAGATGTCCCATTCAGCAAGTCAAAATATGCAATTTTAGATTGTTCTTAACGTTTTTCTCTATTTTATCACAACTACTTCTTACATCAAATCCAGAATGGCATCAAACTAATATATGGTACAAAAACATCCCAGTTGCTAGGAACGCAGTCTTGGAATAGACAATGATTTTTCTAAACAAAACAAGTTTCAATTCACAATGCATATATTACGTGACTTTATCAACCTATTACTTATTTCACAGATTTAAAGAATTAATGTATGCTCACCACTGTCATCTGGAGAAGCATGGCTTTCCTCTATGCCCCTTAAAATATTTTGACAAATGTCAGACTCCAGAGGTATGGGATCATCAGAATCTCGGTTATAAATTGTAACAGCTATGTGGGCAGGATGTGGCACAGGAAGTGGGATGACCATTTTATCTGGAGAGAAAGGACGGCTCTGTTTTTTCCATGGCATCCAAAGTGTAGTTCTTGTTTCCTTTAATGAACCTAAAGCAGCAGCAGAATCTCTAAAAGTAGAGACAAAAAATTAAAAAAGTGTTTAGGACAAGCTTTTTTCACACTTCAAGATAAACATAAAAATTGATTATTAATTAAAATTATTTCAGATGTCTAAAATAAAAATTACTGTTTACTATTAAAGTAATGGAACAGTGATCAAAATGAGACAGCATGTTATTACATATTCTGGCAATTATTCAGCCCATTTGAAAGTATACTATGGATGGTATGTAGAGAGAGAGGGTAAGGGACAAGATGTAAAGTGAGATGAAAATAGTCTCCCATCACATGACTTAGGGCATTTGCAGATTTATCACAGGCGATTTGTTATATCCATTACACGGTATTAAGTGTTATTGCGTATTTTACATATAGATTTGACAGTACTTTTTTTTTAACTGTTGTGTTACTACTAAAAAAAGTCAATTTTCTAATCAAAAATAGAGTTTTTTTTAAATTAATGTCACAAGATTTTATTCTAGGTCACGTGGCTTAGGGCAAAAATCGCCGCCGGTTTTGCAGTTCATATTGGAACAGCTACAAAGCACAGAAAGTCATGGTATACTATCAAATGATTCAGCTTTATGCTGTATGAACATTGACTTCATATTAAGATTTACATTACATATAAGGAAAAATGACATATTTCAATAATAATGGATTATGCCCATTCAAAAAGCCTTCTTAACCAATGTTTATTGAAATATCTAAAAAAACCAATGAAGTTGATCTAAATGATGTTGATTTTTGTCCAAGTATGTACCATTAGCTTCCAGACACCCTATATTATGGCTGAGTCAGCTTTTTTTGGTAGTGTTGAATAATAATAATTTAAAAATAACAAATAATCCACAAATTGTAATTAGTTCTACTGGGGCAGTAATAAAACATTTTCTAAGTTAAAAGATTGATTACCAATTATAATTGTATATAAAATTAATTGTTTGATACCTTTTGGCATTCCTTTCTGAATTAAGGAAATATAGCGCAAAATACAACTAAATAATAGATCACTTCATTTAATAAAGCATTTCAGTCAATGCTAATTTTAAGGTTTTGTAATCAAATCTTCTTAGTGCCAGTTGTCTCCAAATTTGAAAAACAATGTTTTTTGAATGAGCTATTTGTTCTTTTTAATTTTCCAATCTGGAAAATCTAAAAAGAAATTAGTAACGATGTAACCATTACTACTTAAATATAAAAAACTCTTGATGTCTCACCAGATGGAAATGCACCAATTTTGTGATTTTTATTATAGTTGTAAACATGACCTTCAAACCTTTACCACTGCAATTCTAACTTTTTTGCTTTCTAGAGCACACTGTTTTTTAATTTATTTAAATATTTTTAATTCTGGACACATATAGCTACAAAATCATACAATTCCATTTTAGGTTACAGTTATATAGTGTCACCAGAAAAATTCACTTTTAAGCATAAAAAAAAAGTTCGGTATTTTATAAAAAAAATTCTACCTCAAACTCAAAATGAATGAATCTAGAGAAACTGATTCAGTGTGCTTCACGATTACGTCCAGAAGAGTGAAAATAGTTTCATTTGTTTTATGACTTAATATATCTTTATCCTACTTTCTAAATTTCACGTTTGTTCTTAAAACTCTTAAGATCATAAAAAGGTAGGTACCCAAATTTTTTTATATAGTGAAAATTGTCACTACATATTATTACGAAATTTAAGTAATCCATTAGTAATAAACAACATACATGTCCCATTACCATGGTATAGTTACCATGGTAATGGGACATGTATGTTGTTAAATTTATAAATATTTATTTTTTATTTTTTTTTTTTTCTTTTGGAGGGATTAAAAGTAAATTTAATCTCTGGAGGGTTAAAACTGACACATTAATAATTAAATTTGGAACTGAAAAAGTACCACATAATGCAAAAGTTATATTTTAAAATACTATAATAGGTATTATAATGATGGAGATGTTAGATAAATTGAAAATATTATAATCTATTATTTTTGAAAATCTGTATAAGTACAGCAATTGCAGAGATTATATTAATCTTGACTATAATTTAAAATACATACACTTTTTTATCCGCTTTCTTGCCTGTGGCTGATAACTTTGCTCTTGGATTAAAGGCTGACACTTCCAAATATGGTGACTGAACTTGTATATTTCCTCTTGGTGTATAAACATTTCCTAACAAATCAGGACCTCCAGCACCTAAGAAAAAATGTTGGTTTTTTTATTTTTAGTTTTTTTTATAAATAAAAAAAAGTTGATAGTTTAAATTTTCCTATAGGAAAAAGGGGAAAAAAGAATAAATTTCTTGGCAACTAAATATAGATGTTGAACAAGTCAAATAAATTATAGTAGATTCTTTCCTCAATATAAATTTTGGCAGATGTGTTTCATAAATTATAAACCCTAATCTATTTGTGCTATTTTGTGTAACATGTCAAATTTGAAACAGCTTGGAATAAAAGGAAATAGGAATGAACATTTATTAAATTCTCTTCTGAAACTACACTTTCTGTATGTAACTTACTTTATGGCATGCACATATGTTTGTGGACAATCCATTTTTAACATCCATTCACACCCTGTTCTGCTGTTTTTCTCTAAATATTAGCACAAACAAGACACATACCTACTTCCTAATATGTAAGATTATAACGTAAACCGTATCTAAGCAAAGTAAGTCTATACATTTTAAAAAGTGTAGATATATTTAAATTTAACATGCCAGTGTAGAGGATTTAATTGGAACACAATAAACACAGGTTCTGTACAGAAAAAGATTTTTTTAAAGTTGTCCAGATAAAGACGATATTTAAAATATGCAAAAATACCTACATGTTATCATGTAGTTTGTTTAGTACTGAATATTGAATGGATGAAAAAACTAAGAGGTTTAGATGTGGTCTACATTATAAAAAATATAGCCAAGAATAATTTCTAACACATTTACTATGGAAATGGAGGAAATATATATTTCTTTGTTGATTTACAATATTTCATAATTTATCAATTGCAGACAGAATTTACATTTTGAACAATTAACTTTTACTAATACACCTAAAAATGTTTGAAATTATATTAAATTTTAACCATGAAACATGAATCTATGGAATATGCAAATCAAAAAATGAGTGCGCATGTTCACTCTACTCTCTCCTATCATCACGAACATAGCGAACTAATCGTCTTGTAACCAAAAACATTTATAATTTTTTATGTTTTCCAAAACAATGGAGATAATCAAATTAAAATTGGTACACACCATATCCACCATATACATGATAATTCTAATATCTTAATCAATCAGTGACAAAGATGTAGGCAATAGTTTTAATTAATTTAAGAACGGAAATTGAAGTCCCGTTTCATCTAACAAAGTACTACAATATTCATATAGATGTTGCTACAGGAAATACGTTTATAGTAAAAATAGTACGATTATTTCATTCATTCAAATTCCGGCAAAACACACCTAAAAAAAACGAGAAAATGCCAGGTGCACGCACACGTGCACGATAATGAGTTGTCCGGCCTATACGTCCATCCCACTCTCTTGCTATCTCATAATTGCATATGAAAAGAGAAGGGTAATAAAATAATAAAAACTCCAATTTGCGGCCGCCGGTTTTTTGTTCTGAAAATATTTCTATTTTCTATCTTCTACATATTATTATGTACATATTTACAAAAAAGGAGGATGGCAAGTGGTTGTACAAATTTATAATATTTGCAGCCAACTAAAAGTTTTATTTCATATTATTTTCTACATTTTAGTACTTATATGGATTCGGACCAGAGTAGGTGCGAATGTAATTATTTCTTGTATGGATCTTTGAGCTGTTATCTTTTATTGTTGCGTTGTGGCTGCGAAATATTTTATTTGTGGAGTTTACTATTTTTTATATGAAGGAAAAAACATTAACAGAGTAAGTATTACAATTTGCTAGGCATAGTTGTACTTAGTACTAAATTCAAGTAAATAATAGATATTAAAAATAAATATGTAGGTATATTGTATTTGATTATTTGAAAATAAAAATTACATATGCGACAATGGACTTTCCGCTTACTTAGCCGTAATATAAATATGACATATTGTCGTTGCAATGCACATACAGGCTGTTCCAATAGTGTGACAAAGTTTATAATTATTTTCAGTTATAGTTGTATAGGGCAAAATCTTCAGGCCAAAAACAAGATTTTCTGAACGTTTAATTCGGTCTGAAAATAATGAATAATGGAAATAATAATAAAATGTGAATCCGAGCAAGTAACTTTTTTCGTATCACTACTACAGGCAGTTATACTAAACTTTATCGCACTATTGTGGCACCCTATATATGACTAGATATATCATTATGGTAAATCAAAAGCATAATAGGTAAAAATGTATAATTATCTATGTTTATAACAAATATTATCTGGTAAAATTCTTTTCTTACTTTCAGATACAGAGACAGTTAAATATAACCGGAAGAAGTCTATATGTTATTTCGTAATATACCTATAGTGGTGAAAACAACCCGCTCTATGTAGAACAAATTAAGAAAGATGAAGAATTATGGAAAAAATCAATGGCAACAAATTTGGAACAATTTTATAAAAATTGTATACTACCAGAAATAATATACAAAAATATTCCACAGGGAAAAAGATGTATGGATCCAGAATATATTATAGAAGCTCAAATTAATAAAAAGAAATAATTTTATTTTATGATTTTTTAAATTTTTTCCTGTTCTACTGTACCTATTCTATTTATTTCTTTATTACTTTCATTTATTTACATATTTATTAAACTACACTGTTCCACAGAATTTCTGTTTATATTGGAGGTATTAAAGTACCTACAACTATTTTTTCAAGTGAAGTGAACTGAATACCTATTTCTCATAAAAAAAATTTAGTCTCAAATCGTCCTTTTGTACATAATTCTTTACACATTTTTTGGACAAAATAAGTATATCGTACATATTTTTTATATTTTCTCATTATTATGTATATTCACAATTAAAATTCTATTTATATTAATATGCGAATTTTTTTTATCAAGAATTACTTAATATTAATTATTAAAAATATAATATTTTCCATTTCTGTTTATACCAAAGTAAGCCGCTTTATTCACAAATCGTAATTATAACATAACTTTCCGTTATGAACAACTTTTCTTATTAACATTTTTTTATATTATCAAAAACAAAAGCAGTTTATTCTTCAACGTTATTAATTTTGTTAAATTTCTGATCACCCTGTATATATATAAATTACAGTTTTTCATGACAAACATATTCAATTAAAAAGCAAAATATTTTTTGTCACGAATTACTTTTTCTAGTAGAATAGAAAATAAAAATGTTTTCCCTCTTATCCACTAACCGTAGATACTAATATAGGTATATTAATTATAAATTATGGTTTTAAATAAACTAAAAATTGTTTATATTTCATATTTTCTAAAATTATATAATAGTATGGACTTGCACTGTTACTTATATACTTTTATACAAAAATATATCTAAAATGATCATGACATTCTTTAAATATTTACGTATCAATTAACAGAAACCATGACTACCAATTCAGAATCAGGTTATACCAAATTAACCACATACAACAGCTGTTCGTTAAAAATAACCCGAGTCCATTCATAAATAAATTTTTACTAGTGCGACATCTATTACAAATCAAGCGAATTAAAAGTCGGAGATAATGCTATTCATGAATGAATATTTTTTAATAATTTTATTCCAATATAACTTTTTAAATAATAAAGTGATGAACAAACTATGAAATAAAGTCTAATCAGTTTATTTATTTAAAGACAACTATATAAAAAATTGCATAATTCTATAATACTATGAAGAAATAATCGTTTCTTTGTAAAAGTCCAAAAAACCTTCATATTTAGAAATTAATTTCTCATGAATTATTTACCTATCCCAATTAATTTTTGCTTTACTGTCTTCATTTATACTTTGCCAAATGTGATATAAAATTTTACTACTTTCTTCCATTGCTTTAAAAAGATATATTGGAATAAAAAAAGGGCTGTTTTCTACCATTTTTCGGTATAATTTAGGCAACCAGAAATGCATCAGTTTCCATCCTTAATAAAAACGATTAGCATTTTTTCATAAAGTTTTCAATTTTTAATGAAAAATGTCTTGGTATTTTTAAAATCTGTCACAGCCATTTTGAAAATCATTTTAGTTATAGAAAAATGATGCTAAGTTTATTTGAAAATTTTAGTTGAGAAAATAGAAAAAATATAGCGCAATCCATGCCAAATCACTGAGGTCGTGACCGGACCATTTTTAATTTTCACGATTCTTTGGTATTATTTAGTACCTATTTGGAATAGCTTTCATGAATTTTTTAAATTTTAATTTCATCCCCTCAAGAAGTTATGAGCAGTTGAACATTTGGTAAAAAATTTTCAACCATCTGTAACTTGGTGAAAACCATAGGTATTATAATTTTTGTTTTTGTTCCTTTTGAGATGTATGTATGTATGTATGTATGTATGTATGTATGTATGTATGTATGTATGTTGGAGGGGTGGTGGAATTGTCATCCACCACGGCACTTAGGCCTTACTAGGCCCCTTGTACACCCTCCTTCATTACTCGAGTACTTTTCTTCAAACCATCTTATTTACTACACGGATGGCTTGGTGGCAAAGTCTCGTACAGTTTATGTATGATAGCATGGTCTTGAGTTACAGAGATTTCTTGCTCTGCTCTCGTTACCATTTATCGGGGACCACACGCGTGCGGCAAATGTTGGGCGACCCAAGTCTCTTGGTAGGCTGTGACAGCCACGTCCCCGAGCCTGCCTTAGGCTTAGAATTTGATACCAAAGTACCTTTAAGTACCAAAAAGTTATGTCGTTTCCAACACCTTCAATCTACGGAAGCTGACGCCCTCTATGAACTATAACCAAAATGTGACCAAATTTCAATTCCTCTATCCAAAGAACCCCAAAGCCCAAAATTTTGTGTAGATATTTGCATTTATTAAGAAAGAAATGGAAATAAACTAAAATAATATTTTACATTTAACACCCTGTATCTCTTTAACTATCAACTTTTGGACTAAGGTAAGTTCGTCTAAATCGCAATATTTTTGCTTCGAGAATGTACCCATGAATTTTAGCCCATTACCTCGGGACCACCCTGTATAAGGTTATACATACTTTT